AACAAAACAAAACAAAAACAAAGAAAATCAAATCTTATCTTTCCATAAAAGTACACAAACGATACTTTCATCTGAATTGGTCTCAACACCAGCATGTGATTACATGAAATCAACAAAGCACGCCAAAAAACAAATAGAATCCTTAATTTTCTTCTTTTTTTTTTTTGCTGTACAGATTCTTTATACACAGTGCCCCCTACAGGTCAGTCCCTTCCACTGCCGCTCCTGAGAAAAAAAATTACATTGGCTCACTTTCAGCCCACCCTGCCGTCCCATTGGTGGCCTCAGCCCTGTGTTTCTCCCGCTTGATTGGCTGCATCACGTGTCCATGCGGAGCAATCGCGGCTCCGTCTCTCTTTGCCCCTCACGCCTCTGAATAGTTAGTCTGTCCGTTCATCTTGTCCTTCTTTAGTTTTACGCCGTCCACCAGCTCAAAGTTATAGTTTTCCAGGGCGGATAAGTTCCTGTCCGTCATGCTGCCCTGCGAGCAGGCGCAGTACAGGACGACGCCGCAGATAGCGCCCAGGAAGACGCCCAGCGCGGACATGGCGATGATGGTGATGAGGATGGGGTCCAGGGTCTTCAGCATGTTGCCGGGTCCGCCGAGCTCGCTGGTCTCCTGCGAGAGGGAGTCTATCGCTGCAAGAGAGATGGACACAAGTTATGTTCCATTCATGACCTGTGATGGCAGGCTTAAAAGGACCATACTGGTGGTTTTGCATGTTCTAGATCATAAAGTATAAAAGGCAGCCTTTTCCAGAAATTACCAAACTTTCCCTTTAAAACATTCATGTTCCTTTTTTTGTCTTCTTGGTTTAATTTCCCCACTTGTGAAAGTTTTTTGCCAGCAAAATGTGAATGTCAGAGCTTCTGTGAACCAAACAACAGGCTTCAACACAGATTCTCCTGCTTTAATAAAACGTTTACAGAACAGGCTAAAGTCAAGTGTTTATTGTAATGGACTATCTTTCTCAAGAAAACTTCAAGTCTGTGCAAGTTAAAATGAGTATTGAAATGTGTGGAAATAAGCGGAAACGACCGGCTGCCTAGAAGACAGGAAATCAATAAAAAAATCTATGGCACACTTTGAAAAAGTGATCAGGAGTGGTATTAAGTTGATATAGTTAATTTCCTAAAACATGGAAATTCACTGATGTGGTACTTTAAGATGTCAAAAAACACTTCTGCTACAAACAGTATGAACATTTTAACTTTTTTGGAGGCGACAAACAAGATTTTTCATGGAAAAAAGAAAAGAAACTTGTAGAAGGCGAACAGAAGTGTGATCCTTCAACTACAAAATGTCTGACTTCGATGCACACAACACAGCTGAGGACTAGTCTTAGTCAATTCTAATACTGTGGAGACGTGTCCTCAAAAGAGTCTGTGCAACAAAAATGTAACACGTTGACACTGTAATGTCACAATTAGAGTCAGGAAGGTACTCACGTAGGATGAAGATCTCAGTTGGCGGAGACGTAGGAGCTTCTGGGTCTGGAGGACAAAAAAAGAAAAGATTTAGATAAAAGCAACTGACACAGAACTAGTATAAAATGTATAAATGTACCATCGTGACCTTTAATAAATAAGTTAAAACAATAAGTACATACCTTTGCACTCCTCAGGATGGAGTCCATCCAGGATCTGGATGTTGTCCACAGCTATGTGACCTGCACTGCGTTTGTCTGCAACGCCCTCCACAACCACCTACGAATAACAACATGTGGTCAGTCTCAGAAAAACCAATCAACTCTCCACCCAAACTGTATCTTTAAAAGGTATATTTCCCTTCCCAGTCCACCCCTGCTCAGTCTTTCCCCTCCTTTAGCACCCACCAAGGGATAGATAAATGTCAAGGATCATGATAATTTTGCTACACAAAATTCTGTTTATTTTCCTTAAAGGTCCATTATGTAGGATTTAGTGACATCTAGCGGTGTAGTTGCAGATTGCAACTCACTCATTCCCAAATGTTACACACTGGACCTTTAAGTATCCTCTTGTTGAACATATGAATAGCTTTTCTTCCTCTGACCTCTCACATTTATTAAAATGAAATAATATGAGAAAAGAAAAATCGCTACTTGGTTGCAAGAGGGGGCACCAACCATGAACTGCACCACTCCTGGTTTGACTCCGGCCATAATAATAATAATAATAATATTCTTTATTTATAGAGCACTTTTCAAAACCCAAGTTACAAATTGCTTTAAGCTAAAACACATAAAACCAATTCCAGCTTATCCCAGCATGCACTGTGCCAGAGGCAGAGAACACCCAAAAAAAGTCAGGGAAAATTAGTTTCCTGTTCTGCATTTCCAACTAACTTGCATGTTATTCTTCTGTGGGAGGAAACTGGACCACCCAAAGTCCAGCCTAGACCTTCTTGCTGCAAGGTGCACAGTGCTTTTTATATCTTTATTACAATTCTCCTGGTTCTGCTGTCTCTCTATTTAATGCCTGTGGGGGCTTTACAGGTTTTGTTTACGTCAGTTTTATGTTCGATAACAGCACATCAACATGATGTGAAACAAAAACTGCCCAAATGGACAATGGAAGAATCTTTTTATCCCATAAAAGGACAAAAAAATGAAAATAAATCAATCACAAACCAGATTAAAACCTCATATGTTGCAGTTACACAATAACAGATATCATTTTATGTACACATGTAATGTCTAACACATCCAGCAGTCTGTGTTACCTGATATGAGACACTGGAGTGTGGCAGTAAAACTCGTCCCTCCCTCCACCGGCTGCCCTGGTGACCGCTGACCGTCCACAGGATCTGCCCCACCTTCGCCTCCTTCCTCTGCTTGATGTGAAGAGCTCCTGCGTGTTCACCGAACATGTGATACCAGAAGGACATACACAGGTCGATGTCTGTGGCGGTGATGGGCAGGCTGACCAAGCTCGCCACCTTCTCCTCTTCATCATCATCTTCGCCGGTCTTACTCGGTGTGTCTATGTCACTCAGCTGCATGTAGATGAAGTTCCCCAGCCCACCTGCAGGGGGCAGCAAAAGACAATGTAAGAAGTTGCTTTGAAGGGCTCCTGACAGCGTGGAAACACATTACTGTAGATATGATGACTCTTTTAAATACTCAGTTTCACCAGAATTTTAAAATAGGACCTTGCAGACTTTAAAGATACAGCCAGTAATGCTGTTTTCTGTACATTTTTAATAAAATAAGCTTTAATATGATTGATATTAAGCTCTACTGTGACACTTAAAAGTTTCTGCCAAGGGTTCATTATGCATTCATTCATCGCATTAAATTGATTTGGGTTTCACTATCTCTCATAAAGTCAATACTTTCTAAAGTGAGTCTAATTGTTCGAAGGAACTCTGCAGTTGTTTTGGGTAAAAACAAAGCACTCAGTATCAGCATGCCTCAGTGGAAGATATGACTCGACATCACAACGGGCTCATTTGTTACTTGTGATCTGGCTGAGTCAAGAAATCAAGGTGAAACCATTCATTTTAGAGCTGTAGCTGTCTCCACAAAAACATCCATCACAGGAGGTTTGAATGGAGAGGCCAGCGAGCTGAGGCATACTGATAAATTTGACTGCTGTATTCTTTAAAAAGTCAAGTTTTTCAAGGCCGTCCATTCATTGTTAAAATGTTCTAAAGATCAAAGCATCTGCAAGTTCTGCTCCGTTCTGTTCAGTGCTGACAGACAGTTATGAATTGAGCTCTGTTTCTTTGCATTTCTTAGCCTCATTAGCTTATTGTTTTGGATTGATCTTGTTAATTTTGATGGATTTAGACAGCTCTTGGGTGTTTTAACCTACCACTTAGGTTGTTTTTATGATTATAATAGACATATTATTTATGATTTATGATCACATTTCTGTTTAATTCGGATTTTCTTGCATAGTTTGTGTTATCTCTCATACGTTGTCTGTAACTCTTTGTTATTGCTGCCTAACTTGACCAGGACACTCCAATGACGTTTTCCAATTTAAATAATGAAGTTATTATTATCTCTGCTTATTATTGCCAAGACAACGTTGTTGTTCAGTCAAAGGTCACATTTATTAATCCACAATGGTCCCATACTAACCAACCGATGCTGGTTACCAAGACACAGAAAATAAAGAAAACCATGGATAAAAACACAAAAAACTATACTGTAAAAAGAAACATCTAAACAACAGTATGAACTCCGATTTGAAAGTTCAGGGATACTTCCTATAAAACCACAATTTTGAGAAGGGAATTACAAACCAAGGATGTCCCCAGTTTAATCTTGCTTCAGTTTGTACTGTAAAACATGCTCATGTCAAAACAGCTCTGACCTTATTAACCTGATTACTTTCTGGCTGTGTTCTTTCTGCACACACCCCCGTCATGAAGTGTGGAGACAAGCTGAACTGCACCGCTGCAGAGAGTTTGTTTTTAATACAGACTCTTAAAAAAACTGAACATTATTGGACACCAAGACGGTAGGAATCTACTAAGAGAAGTCCAGAAAAACGAACCTCATGTAACTTCAGTTGGTCAGTCTCTCCAGTCTGAATGAATGTCACCAGTATATCTTTATACTTTAGTTCCCATTAATATGGACCCACTGCCTCCACACCACAACTTTGATAGTTTTCCACGTTCACAAACTCTTTGTCCTTCAGAGTAGGAATAAGGCTATGTGTCCGACGGGAATTTCTTATTACATCGTAGGCATCTTTTCCTTATTTAAAAAAAAAAAAGAGGCACTGTTGTGAATTCCCAGCAGCACAGCTTGTAGCGTGTTATTTAAAGCGTACAGCAGTTAAAAATATTACATCTTCTAGCAAAAGAGGTTCAGACAGGCTTTCAACAGCTGCGCAGTAACATGACGAGCCACAGAGTGCTCTCCCAAAGCATCTGCCGAGTGCTTCTGGTTAAAAAAAACACTTGAACACAAAGGTGAACACACATCTCCTACCTGTGTGGTCCAGGGTCGGTCCTCTGTGGACGGCAGGAGCCCCCTTGGACTGGATCAGCCACTCAGCCCCCATCCCAGTCTCTTCGGTCCAGCCGCAGAGCGACGAGAAGTCAAAGTTACAGGCGAACCACACGTATGCTGCAAGAAAAAGGAGATAAGAGCAGTTGGAAGTGAGTTTGGTGATGAAGGAGGTTTTCAGTTGAGATGTTTCATAGCGGTTTTACATGAGCTGAAGTTTCAGGAGAATATGGATCAAAGCTGTTAGCAGATGCAACAAAGTCATCACTGTTAGTCTTTAAATTGTCAGCTGTTTTACTGTGTTAGGATCATTTTCATTATCAGTTAATATATATATGTTCTATAATAAGATTGTTTGATCTATATAATAGCAGAAAAGAGGAATAATACCCTTCCCATCATAAGATGCCAGAGCCTAAAGTGTTGACTTTAAATTGCTTATTTTGTCTGAACATATAAAAACCCAGAGTGATTCAGCTTATGATGAAAAGAGACGATACATGTATTTACTTATTTGCTGTTCTGTCGATTTGCTTATTAGTTTAACACTAGTTTAGCTTTTCCCATTTCTTAAAATTTTTTGGTCTGTACTAAGCCTCCTCTGAAACACACGGTGTTATCAGAATCTTCTTTTAACCCCAAAGCAGGAAGCTCAACCACAAGAACAAAAGAGAGTGGAGGTTCATGCCATTTACCCGAGATCTCCTGGACACAGTCAGTGCAGCCACAAGATCACAGACTGGAATAAAGGCACAAAAACATCCCAGATGTTGATGTGTTTGCATTTTGATGCACAGGAGCAGAGTCTGGGAGATGCTTTTTTTTGTCCTCCCCTCTCC